TATTCGCTAGATGGGTTTTCTTGTTCGGTCATAGTAACGAACGCACGAAGAGATGTGTTTGTTGTTGTAGTTGTTGTTGTCGTTGCTGTTGTTGCTGCTTCTGCTACTGCTGCTGCTATTGCTGCTGCTGCTGCTGCTGCTGTTGTTGCTGCTGCTGCTGTTGTTGCTGCCGCTACTGCTGCTGCTACTACTGCTGCTGCTACTGCTGCTGCTGCCGCTGCTGCTGCTGCTGTTGTTGTTGTTGTTGCGTGTATGTATGTGTATGTGTGTTGCAAAGGTAGTAGGGCGTAATCTCGGAGCAAATGGCTTAAGAGGGGAAGTTTTAGCTGTTTTACGCATATTGTTGTTGGCGAAGGCTCTCGTTAATACAGTAGTTGTTTGACTGATTTTATATTGTATTTTCATATTTTTCTTTTTTTTTTTTACATTTTTGGTTGTCAGGCTGCCGAAACAATGGCAACGCAATGGCTGGGCGTCACTTACAAGTCATTTATACGCACGCACTCGATGTTCGAAAAGTACAATGTTTCTGCGATGACCGAAGAGTGTAGTGCTGGCTCGGGTGGCGAGTACGAAGTGCAGGCGAGTTCCATCATTCTATAATTTTCTGATAATGGCGCTTTTAAATAAAGTGTGTGTCGAAAGCAAAATGTTTATTATTCATTTCTCTAAAGGATTGTTTTCTGCTCAACAAAAGCGTCTTTTATTACTTTCAAGCACTCCCTGAACAATTGAACACTTTATAGAGTTGGGGCTGAAGATGAGAGTGCCATTATATTATTCATAGATGAGTGTTCTTTCTTTGAAAGTTAAATGGGAAATTAGGATCAGAAATATTGCCAACGTGAAACAGCATCGAGGAATCGAAAGACACATTATTTAGGTAAACGTAGGGGACAGAACAACGGTCGACTTCAGGTTATTTGAAACTCCATGATGCCAAATTCTTGTGACGCTTGCCTTCTTAAGCTATATTTTTTTTTAAAGAAAACGATCTCTTCGGTGTTTCTTGTCTGAGCTGCAGTTCAAAAATCATAGACATTATGATATGAATGGTTTCAGCACATCGACAGTGATATTATATTGTCAGAACTAAGTAGACGTTGAGTTTTAAAAATTTGACATACAATCGCCATATGCGACTTTTGATTATTATCACGCAGCAAGGCTAGTTTTCGCGTGAGTTCATGCGACAAGTTTATTGTAGAGATGTATATTCGAGCGCACTGTTCTACACGCACCACTATTTGTTTTTTTTTTTTTTTTTTAAATCTCAGTTGTGGCTGAAACTGATGATCGAGACAAGAAGCGATAAAAAGATAAGCCTGCATAACAGGTCATCTTGGGTATTGCGTTCTTCCTTTGATTTAGGACATTTGCTGCCTCTGTTATGATCATTTCTTTTCAGACGGGATTTGGCTGGACAAACGGTGTTATCTTGGACTTAC